ATTTCGGATCATTTGTTTCCTGTTTGAACATTTTGAGGGCAGCAGAACCATTACTCTGGCTCCAAGTACAACATGTTTGAAGTCTGAAGGTGGAATGGAGGTTGGCGTGGGCCCAGCAGGTGGGCAAGAAGACTGCTGAGAGCAGCGCAGAGGGGGAGAAAGGACGACGCCAGCTAGCAGGCCAGACGGATGAAAGTGTCTGGGTAGGTGGCTGCTAACAACCAGCTAACACACATAGGGCAGCACAGGGCGAGAGGGGGGGGGGGGGGGCTGACATCTCTGCTCACCGTGGTACCTCGTACTACAAATGGGTTCAAACAACAAAACCAAAAGATGCATCACAACCACAGCAGCCCTATCTTTTCCATTTGTCCATTTGTTATTATAGGGGTTTCAGCGAGTGGGGTGAACCAGAGTTTACATAAACAAGAACACATACTGTTGGTGTGTCTTTGCGTTGCTGTGCTGGTCATACATAAGCAAAGGTCTGTTTATTTTCACACAGGAAGCACAGAGAGATGGAGACTATAAATAAATACATAAATAAATAGAGAACCAAGAGATACAAATGTGTAGTAATTGCTACGCCCAATAATTGGTAAAAATCATTGTTGTTTGACATGATTACAGGATATATTTTAAGTTGCTAAAAACTCCTTAGAAACAAAACTCATTAAAAAAAGGCTTTTTTATCCTACAATCATTAGCTTCAATTAAAGACGGCTACATGCTATTAAGGGCACTTTATGTGTCCATTGTTGCCAATTCCCCCCCACACCCACATACACATATGTGGAATTCATCACAGCTACTAATGTGTCCTTCCGCCTGATTCCTAACACAAACATGGGCCGTAAACATAAAGCAGAGCATCCCAAACTCAGATGCTCCAGGAATGCTAACATGCTGGTGTTAGATTTCCCAGCTATCACTGCTCCCTCCTGGGTTGAACCAGCTATGGTTTCTTTTAGTTCAGAGGTCACAGTTGGTGAAATGTCACTGCCAGTCGTGCGGTTTGCCCAGCCCTAAGCTAACTAGGAATGATCTGAGGCTCTCTACTGTAAACGGGATAGAAAGTGTCTTGTTAGCGCTGTCTGCCTGCACGAGCAGCAGGCAGTGACACAGTTTGCATGACTATGATAGCTACTATAAAACCCAGCTACAGACTGAGGGTGTCATATTCCTGTTGTGAGCCTGTCATCTGCAGACACTCCATCCGAGGTCCTGCAGTGCACCTTCACACTCACTGAATTCTACATGCACAATAACAGAAGCTCTAGGGAAATGTTGTTTAAAAAAAAACAGGGACAGGATGTGCTTGTTTTTGTGCAGCGGATATTTCCTTCGGCTGACACCAGTCACACAACATGGGTCTGCCTGGGATGAGCCAGAAATTGTGGATGTAATGGGATGGAATGATCTGGAGTCCTGCCTAAGCCTCTTAAAATACTGACCAAGTCATCACACTGATAGAAATGCTTTCCTCGCTAGCATTAAGAGAAAGGAATCACATGTTGGAGAGAAAATACATTTCAAGAGGATGTGAATATCTAAAGCGGATTTTTATCACCAAATATTGCAAAAGCCCCACACAGCAGACTCGACGAGTAAGACACTTGACCACAATAGGTGGTCCAGGTCAATCCAAATGACAGCTCAATTATCTTTGTAAAACTAAATAGGTACAGAAAGCTCCAGAATGGTCTTTGGGACTGATATGAATATGAAAAGACACCATTCCATGCTTTGTCAGTGGGACAAAGGACGTGGCTGTGGAGCTGGGAGACGAGTCCTCATCTGGCTAAGCTCTCAGAGCGTCTGTCCAGAACTCCATGCATTCCTCGGTTAATTTCCCCTCAGTGGGCCGGCACTTTCTCTGCCAGGGACCCATCTTACCTCCGGTCTGACCGAAGCAGCTGTCCGTGTTTGGACAACCTTATCCAGGAAGTGCTAGAGAAGAACTCTTCCTGTAGACCACTGGGATCAAAACGGGTCATGGGGCCTAGCAAAAACTATGTTGGGGAGTAGTGCTGCATGATTATGAATAGATAACTAATTGCACTTATTTTGACATATATTGCAATTGTGATTGGATTTGCAATATTAGAGGGAATGATCATTTTTAAAACATTATCATTGAAAAATTGATTAAAATGATCATGGTGTGTTTTTGTTTTAAGACAAACAAGGATTTTGTATTAAGTCTGAAGCTCCAAAAATACTTCATTCAGAATGATATTTTCATGTTTGGACTTTGGTCCAACACTGTGATTCTGATAAAATTGCGATTCATTGTGCAGCCCGAATCTAGATGAAAACACAGCAAACGCATGCCCTGAAAAAGGGCCTAATACAGATACCAGTATGGCCCAGATAATTCCAACAAAAAGTTTCAACTCATCAACTTTACTTCTGCCTCAACGACACAGTGCCACTATAAAGGTTACACAGTGACCTTTCCACTCCAGGGAGCCCCGCCCAGATCATTTTGGTGATAATGGAGCTCCACGGAACAAATGTTTGGGGCGGCTGCGGTGTTAAACATGCCGGGGTCAGTGTCTATCCCATGGCAACCGCTGGGATGCAGCCTCTTGGGAAAGTAGACATTCCTCAGAGCAGAGCTGTATGACTGCCTGGTTACAAAAACAACACAGGTCTTGACATGCACCCCATTCCAGAGCAGGATCGCAAAAAATCTAGGGGAAACATACACAACACACCTTCAAATGAATTGTATACGGCTCGGTTCATCGTCATGGCATGTTGTTCGAGCTATACAATAAACACAGGTAGTTTAATTAACTAGGCTATATTCTGCAAATAAAGTCTAATATTTTGCTATGCCTGCACAAGAAACAACATGTCTTAAATGACTATTTAGGCTACAGATTACAAAGATGTTTTATTGCAGAAATGAATGCTAAAATGCTTGTAATAAAGTGGAGTACCTATCCCTTTATACCTGATGTGTTACAGCTAAGACAGATCCTACAGATCAAATCTCCTCTGACAGGATTACAGGCCCTCACTTTCAAACAATGGATGATGAACATGTAACAAAGCGATTCTGGTAAAGGAGAAACAGACACACCCACCAACCGAAAGCCTGTCCCACTGTAGTATTTCAGTGTGAAGTCCTGCAACGTATTGACATTTTTATCATGCAGACTAAATCAAATGTCATACGCAATAGCAACAATCCTCCAGGGTGTCCTGTGGTCACTAAATCTTACAACTAGATATATTCTAAGACTAAGAGTATGTCTTAAACGCTCAGGTGTCTGCAGGCAACAGGCTTTTTAAATCTACACACCCGTAGTTCATTTCCTGCAAAGTCGAGCCAATAATTTCCCGGGGCTATCACTGCCAAACATTGATTGCTCAAGTCACAATAGATGACACAATGGGCTCTTCAGTCCGCCCACAGATCTGTGAGGGAGAAACAGAGCCAGCCTTGACTGCATGACATCCCTGAATTGGATTTCCGATTAGAAGGGTTTAATGTAATTACCTTGAGTACATTGTGCAGTCTGCACTAAGTAACACAGCGATGCATCACCTCAAGCTTTGCCATTACACTTGTCTCGTGAATGAAGGTGCCTGGCACCGGGCTCCCAGAGGAGCAATATTATAGTATGATTGACAGATGTATACCTGGATGTGCTCAGCATTCAAATAAGGGTTCAGAGAAGCCGGTTTTGACATGCAGCACTAAGCCTGGCCATAAGTCAATGAGCTATATTTCATTTTTATCTATAGGCAGATATATATTAGCCTCTGTAGCTTTATGAAGTAAGGTTTTTGCACACAACACACTACCGTTTCAACTATGGATGCATTATGGAACTATATAACTTTCAGAAAATATGTTTCAGCCCAGGGAAAAACCAACCATCCTGTTTTGGTAAGCCTATAATTCAGATAATATCTGCAGAATAAAATGAAACTCAGACCTTATCAGATCCTTTTCATTACATCCTATTATTTAATATCACCCAGCAGCTCTCATCTGCACACATTAAAAAAGGATGGTGCATTTAAAAAGGCCAGAACAAGCTTCCTCCCAATAACACTGCGAGGCATTTTGTGCAATCTTTCATTGTAAAAAGAACAGGGACTCATATCCATTACCAAAACCCCACAAATGTCTTCCATTTTGTTGAAAAGTGTCCTGTTTTCTAGAAGGCACCACCAAACAGGTAAAGCATTTGCATTGAAGCACATACTGACAGACTGTGCACAGGTGGCAAAGGTGACAGGCACTGTATATTGGCAATAGTTTGTATCCTAATCTCCTATATCAGAAATCCCATCAAATAAAGGAGTGAGCAGGACAACAACCATAGTGAAAATCACAAGCCCTTACAGAGCAGCTAAATATCCCTGACCTTGCATGCCTGGTAGGTCTTACCTAGTGAAAAACCACATCAAAGGTCTACCTCACCAGGGCTTCCCCCCTGTAACCACTGATGGCTAAAAATTAAATCTACCATGGTCAAAACTATACAGCTGTAGAAAGGAAATTGTTTTCAGTCTAGAACAATGCAAATATGAAAACAATGCTGCTTAAGATAATGAAAATGTGGTTGTGACAAGTCTCTCTACTCCATTTTCACCAGTGCTCAGGTCTAGACTGTATGTAAGCAATTAATAATGCATGTGTGTTAGTTTAGTAAGTAGACCAGGGGGCTGTTTTGTTGCAGATGTCTGTATTTTAGTTGCGTCATTACCTACGAGGTGTTTTTTGCACAATACTGTATAGTACAGCTGGCTGGGAGCTAACAAAGAAGCATGTCGCTGCTCCTGCGCTGGATTGGTTTAGGTTGTGTTTGTTTGGCAATTCAAAACAAGCATTACGCTGCGTAAATACCCAAGGATAAATCACATACTTCAATATAGGCTATAATAGTAACTGATCAGGCATTATTTGACAGGGTCGACACTACTGGCTGTCTCCCATTCAGTTATATCCGACTGTATTTCCCGGTTCCAGAGCCTACCTGAGCAGACTGGAGAGGGTATGAGAGGAGGCTCCGTGTCCGCCGCTGGTGCTGCTTCCCCCGGTCCCAGACGAACCGCTGCTAGTGCCAGCGGTCTGTCGCTTCCCGGATAAAAGCTTCTCCACGGCGGCCAGGTTTCCCGTGCGCGCCGCTTCCAGAAGTTCTTGCTCCTTCCCCATCGCGGATCCCAGAAAAAATCAGAGGAGGCGCGGGGAAGAGAAGAAAAAGGGGGGCTTGGTTGCCGGAGTAAAATTCTTCAGCGATCCCAGTCTTCTCCCGATCTCAAGTTATTCCTCAGTGCTACTCGTGTGGCGAGGAAACAAAAGCTCCCTCCGCCGCTGGATCCGTCCGTCCCGATCGGTCCCGATCCACGGTGCCGCTGCTGCTCAAGGGGGGAAAGTTTCGTTCAGCAGCACGGTACCACCATCAAGGAAACTTCCTTTGACCAGTCCCCTGAGCCTCGTCCGTCACTTCCTTGAAACTGCCCTTTCTTTCTGCATCTCCAATCCGAAATGCTTCACACACACACACACACACGCACACACACAGGCATGCAACTCCTAGCACCCCCCGCCCTAGCTAATTGATAGTGAAGGTGGATGGGCTAAAGCAAGATGGCGCCCCTAGTGCTCATACACAGGGATAATATCCATCCAGTGTTTGAGATATCTGTTCTACTGTCGCATCTAGAGTGGAGAGCAAATTTCCAAACCAATCCTTTTCATTATTTACAAATAGTCACTCTCATGTAGCCTATTGTAAATCGTCTACATAAATTATAAATTGTATTCCTCTTAAATGATATAGTACCCCAGATGTAACTACTGTGAACCTGATGAGAATCTCAACAATAGGTAGAAGTTTTGCTTGAAATAAAACCCGTGTAAAATTCCCTCATGGTGGGAACCAGTCTGTTTAAGGTGTAAACAGGGACATAACACCAGGTGACAGCAAACACACAGACAACATTGCTGTATAAGATTTAACTGGCTGTTGTAAAATAGTTTGTTAAATCATTTAACTCACTAAAACATCTTAACAGCTACGGCAATAAAATACATAACAAACATCGCATGTTTGACATTTTAGCTCAGTGTTTTTATGTACCGCTGCCGGTGTATATAAAGTTCATTCAAAACCGGAAACGGAAACCCGGTGCTATGCTATCAACACAACTATATTTGCTATCAATACGCCGAGAAAACTAGCATCCTGATGCCATCATTGCTCTAAGACTAAGGATTTGCTTAAATGTAATTAATTGTGACTACAGTAATGAATTTGCTGTGTGTTAGCTGCTAAGCTAACGTTAGCTTAACTTTGTTCCACAGTTAGCTTGGCTGTTGGTGCTGTTTTGTTGACGCCTAGCTGCACAGAGGGTAGGTGCATGTTGTATTCGTGTTTTCATCCTTATTTTACACACATTTATTCGTTAAACCATACCTGTATATACTCATTGTTGAGGCTTCTCAGTTGAGTTATCGTGAAAACTTTGTTTAATCAAGCGGCAGCACTTGCTCCATACTTGAGATGAGTCGCTATAGAAACCAAAACGATTGCTATCTAGCTTTAGCCAAACTGGCAACCAACTAATAAACAGAGGTACAAAGAGTATAAGTACTATTAAGACTGTGTGAATGCTCCTCTATAAGTAAAATAACTGCCTGTATTAAATCACAATTTTAAACTATTATACAGTATAATCAGCTAAATTACATACATTACTTAAATGACAGTGCAGTGAAATGGTCCATGTCATTGCTTTACAATTTACACTGTATATGATGTTTTTAGATTAATGATACTAGTACATTAATGTGAAATGTTTAATTCTACTGCTGTAGATGTTCAAGGTTCTGCTCATTTTAACTAGTTAATATACCGTTGAGTAGTTAAATATACAGTATGCATCACATTATATAAGAACATTGTATGTTTGTATAGTCACTGTAAACAATACATACTTATATTCCACCAAATACACTCCCTTATTTACTTTACAGAATCTGAAGTTGTCAACCAGTGTAAGGTGTGATCATGGCCGACCCTGCGCGGATCAAACCTGAGGCTTTATCTGAGAGAATCACTTCTTGTAAGGAGGAGGATGATAAATCAGATGAGACTGAGGATGGACCTTCCACATCGAAAGCTGCAGATGAAAACAAACACTCTTCTTCGCAAGATCAGTCCAACCAGGATGTTAAATCCGTAAGTGATACAAGTGAATGTTCCCTTTCACAAAGTAGCGTCTATTTTTTTTAAGTGGCTCGAACCATACTGTCTTTCACTGTGTAGGAAATGGCAGCTGGGGAAGATGAGGAAGAAGGTGAATCTTCCTCTAAAAGACCGAAGGTGGAACCAGAGAAGAAAAAAAAGTGCCAAAAGGTTGATGAGGATGAAATACAAAAGATGCAGTAAGGCTGGGATTTCTAACGGATCATTCTGATACAAATAAATAACACATTGTCACATACCGTTCACACCACCACATTCCCCCTGTTCTTCTTGTCTTACAGAGTTTTAGTGTCATCCTTTTCTGAAGAGCAGCTGAATCGCTATGAGATGTACAGACGCTCTGCCTTCCCTAAGGCGGCTATTAAGAGGGTATTTATAAACACTGACTTTTTTTTTTTTAAATCCCTGAATTTAGTTCATAAATGGCTTAATGTTTTATTTTAATTTTCTAGCTGATCCAGTCCATAACAGGATCATCAGTGTCCCAGAATGTGGTGATTGCCATGTCTGGTATTTCCAAGGTTTTTGCTGGAGAAATTGTTGAAGAAGGTGAGTGATGGACTTCAAAAAGTACATAGCAAATTGGCTGAAAGACGTCAATAAATGTCTCTTATTTGTATTTCCTTGCAGTTTAAATTTGACTATTATGTAGTTAAACAGTTTATCTTTTGTCCTCACAGCATTGGACGTTTGTGAGAAGTGGGGAGAGACACCACCGCTTCAGCCCAAACACATGAGAGAAGCCGTGAGGAGGCTAAAGACTCGAGATCAGATTCCCAACACCAAGTTCAAAAAAATTACCTTCAACTGAAGCGTCTTTGCTTTCAATGTATGGGGAGCATGCGTGCGAGTTAAAAAAAGTTGTGCCATAGCTTCTGAAAGACTTGTCATAAAGCTGTAGGCATACTGCAGCCAAATAGACACTGAGCATTTCGAGCTATCCAGAGTTAAAACCAGTGACAGACAATAGTGTTAAAGAATGGTCAATACAAATTACTTGTCTCTTCACCTCTGATTGTCAGGGTGAATGCTTGACACATCATACAAAACTGTGCAAAGAGTGTGACATTATATTCATGTTTATGGTTGTTAATACAGTGCGTTTTATACAGTTTTTTTTTTTGCCTCGTTATTTTAATAACTAGGGATCTTTGGAGAAAAGTTTTCTCGTGAGAAACTTGTGTGTTGCCAACAGTGAATTTCCTTATAGTTTCACAAATAAATGTTAAGTTGGAACTTCAAAAATGTGTATTTTTCTTTTTATATCTATAGGACGACACATTTGGTATTTATTTAGCTTTTTTTTTTAATTGACATTTGAAAATAAAGGTTGTTAGTTGACTGCCGTCATTCAGTGAATCTCAGAATGTATTTAGTTGGTCTCACAATACTGAAAAAACAATGCTTCCAGTTTTATTTGGAAATATCTAAACTTATTTGTAAGTTATAGTTGAAACTATAGAGATAGTAAAATAATTGCAATGAGATTTCGAACGTACAAGTTGGTACATATTTTATGACGACGCAAAAGTGAAAACATATTCTTTACATGGAAACATGCGTGTTCTATTAAAACTTAAAAGGCACAATTGAAAAGTGTTCTGAAATTAATCATTTATTCTTACACTTTCAAAATATTTTCCACATACTAGCTTTGGTTCACAGAACCAATCTTATATTAGTCTCAATTAAGTAATAAAGAAAATACAAAATTAATGTAACTACACAACTGATATACATCAAAACAAGTGCAATTTCCAGTGAATTTATCACACAAGTGCAAGTAACTCACAACGCATAAACTATGCAACATCACCCCAGTACATGCATTTTCCCTCACTGGCAACATTTTGCTTGGTTGAAGTGACTGCTTCACTTTTTGTCCTTCTCCTTTTTGCATGGTTATGAGCACAGGTCATGAGTAGATGGAATCAGAGCACCAGTTTGTCAGTGGAGAAGAGATGCTTCTCAACAGAGAGCCTGACAGAGGAGACTGGATTAACCTTAAAGCTACATGTTACATCCAGCCCGGGTTCAACTTCATACCACTGTATCTTTGTCTTCTAAGGCCATGCAAAAACAAAAACATCAAAAGCTGAGAAGATCACAACTAAAGTTAGTCTGAGGATAAACAGCAGTATCTCTGCTTTCTTACACTGATAGTTAAAATGTGATGAGTGCTCATGCAGTTTAAACCTGGCAGACAGTAAGTACATCATTTATTTTCAAGTGAAGAATGCCACATAAAACATGTGTGGTTTGTTTCTTGTCATGTTTTTTTTTTGGTTGAACCAAAGCTGACTTCCTATTGCTTAAATATTTTACATTCCTCTGTAAAAATGCACAACTGTCATTCATAGCTTGCAAGGCAACTCTGATTAAGAAAAGAAAGTGTTTTTAATGGGGAATGCTCAGGCGAGTTCAGCCACCAGGGGTCTCCCGAGCACACAGTGGGAAATTATGAATGGTGAAAGATGACACAGCTATGCAACCATAAAAAAAGATAATTATAACTCCACAGGCAGAATGCTAAACCACTGATGTAACAATAGAACACTTGAACAGAAACTGTATCCGACAGGTTTCTTTCATGAAAGCATTCGTACTTGTACTGTGGAAGTCTTTTTGATTAACCAAATTCATCAAGGTTTGAATCCATGCATAGAACAGATTTGATGCATAGAAAAGAAGTTTGAACATTTGATGACTGGCCTGATACAATCCTGCAGATCAGGATTCAATTCCGAAAAATAATATGTCCTGTAGTGAATTTGGTCATTCACATAACGTATACATTATCAGTACCAACGTTTTCTATTCAAACTTAATTTTCTTAGATTGATATGGCTTCAATACACTGTAAAGTAACTCTGATATAACAAAAAAACACTTGTTGAGAAATCTAAATAAATATACACATATTAGTTCATGACCACTATACTATGACAAATGTGCACAGAGGTGAAAACACTAGCAGTTGTTTCCTAGCAAGCTACAAAATAAGTAGATCAGTATTATAACTCCGGTAGTTGTAGTTATAATACATAACCTAGTTAAACCAGAGTGTTGGAGTAAAAAGACTAACCCTGTTACAGTACTGGAGCTACTGTGCGCCCTGAGAGCTCAGAGGCTTCACAGTACAAAAGAAACACAACTCAAAGAAAAATAACACTGGGGAATGGTTCAACCTGCTTATTAAGCACGGTGAAACTTCATAAGAGCGTGTTACCATGCCACCTTGGTGGTTATAAAAAGCAACCGAGGTGGAAAGAGATGCATTTCTGTGTCAGTGAAAGCAATGTAAATCTGCTTCCTTAAAAAAGAAAAAGTGCATTGTTTTCCCTACCTATCACAACACATGTACAACAGTTGATACTATCGTCATAATACTTTTAAATTAAAAGGAACTCACATCTAACGGAGGTAATCTACTTGACTAAGTCTATTGAGCTTTATGACAGTTTATGTGTAAATGTGCTGTGTAAATTAGCACGGTTCACAAAGCATGCTTGACATTAAATTGTGTTTTGTAAATGGGAGCGACTCATGGACTAGCAGCTGTCTGGCAGTGTCAGTGCATGTGAAGAGGAGGAGGTTTTGGCATGTCATCAACTTAATATTTCCAAAACACAAATACTTAACCAGAGATAATTAAAGCGTGGTGACATTTACCCTTGCATGCTGTGTGACAAACACCGAAACCACACAATGACTTTACTATCCACACTGACTGGGATGAGAAGTAACCAGGATCATTTGTATTCAGTACAGCAGTAAGGTTCATTTAAACTGCCATATTACAAAATAGTACCATTAATATACCTATAAGTAAGCTCACTAAGTTGTCCTTTTAGTATTTGTCATACAGGCTCTTTTGTTATCTCTTGATATAGGAAGTGATCCAAAGCCACAACTTGGCTTCACCTTCTTTTCAAAAACGTCCAACATCCAGATTTAAATTAGTCTTGCTGGTTCCTGACATTCAGCCCGATGCATCCCATCACTGTTCCTCAGCAGGAGCAGTGATGCAGTTGGCTCAGAGGCGACAGACAGACAGACAGAAGAGAGGCTCAAAAAGTAAACGCGGGGTCATGCTTCCTGACTTCCAGAAGGAGTTTTTCTCTCTCGCTGAGGGCCTGTGTGAGAGCGGCCTGGGCCTCGGAGAGCTGGCACTCCAGAGTTTGTCTCTGTAACAGATCATTGGATCAGTTAGTTTCGACTACAACACATGAACATTTTGGCAACATACTGCTTGCCAAATGGGCCGATATCAGATTCTGCTGGACAGTAACAGGTGTAATTAAGGCAACATTACACTATCCTGTTTACTGACCCCTCTCTGTAATACTGGTGTCCTGTTGCTGGTCAGCTCTAACACAGATGTATTTAACAGACAGAATGATTATGGCTGATTTAAACATGAGTAGAAACTGTAATTCAGATGAGGTTTAAATATCTTCACCTGACCCTGTTAAAGTATCATAAAACAACAACTGATACTACTAAATACAGAGGTCCTGCTTTGTAAGCTTCCTAAACTGTACCCAACCACTGAGGGCAAGAGTGTGGCAATTGTGACCAAATTGTCAATTAAACCTCCTATGAGTGTGTTTTTCAGTTTGTAGAAACAAAATGACCAAAGATGGCAAATTTGATAGATAAATTAAAATACAAAACAATATTTCACCATTAACATTGTTTTTAAGAGGCTTGATTTTTGGTAATGTAATTTGTTTATGAAATGTGCAGGTAAAAGTATAACTTTTTATCTAACCAGCTAGGGGAAAAAACTTACCAGGCTACACCCCCAGCTACAGACACAACAGATCAAAGCATAAACAGTAAATGTATACATATATGAAACTGCTTGGTCTCCCCTACCTCGCTTTGCTGTTGAACAGAGTTGGAACAGTTTGGGTTGTCGGGGGCCGCCACAGGAACACAGGCTGAGACTTTAGGGTCTGAACCTTCAGCTGCGAGCAGAGAGGAAATGGTAAAGATCACTTTCTGTTCATGTTTCTGTGAAGATCTTTCAGCAGATGTTGTAAGCTGTAAGTGTTTGTGGTTTTACGGTTCATGATGCTGCTGAAGACAAAAGAAAGCTCACCTTTGAGCCTCATCATGCCGTCCTCACAGCGCTCGAGCAGCAGCTGATCCACAATGAAAGAGGCTGGGACGGGCTGAGGCGCTGTAGGGTAGATTTTAGGGCTATCGTCCTATAAGAAATACAAAAGTGAAAATTAACCACATACAACAACACTGTCTAAGTCCTTCTACTCCATGTCTTCAAAAGTATTTTCTTTTTTGGGGGAGAAAAGGTTGCTTTCATCTAATATGTGTTTAAAATACTGAGACTAAAATCATCAGAAATAATCACAAATAGGCAATATTCTTAAACTGCATTAACCCAAACGAACCTTCAAAGTGACTGTGATGTTGCTCATGTGTAACTTCATCGGCGGACTGTCAGCGCTGAACTCGTCTTCCAGGAAAGGACCGATGTTAGTCACTGTGGAGGATAACAGCTCCACCTTGCAGTTCTGCACTCTCATCTCCATGTAGCCCAGAGTCTCGGCCTGACCTGAGTGTCGGGCTGCAGAGGGTCCCATCTCTGCTCGCAGGCACACCACAGGACAGCCCCTCACACCGGGCCGGTCCTGGGGTGGTAAGACTGGGGCTGCAGAAACAAAGGAGACGGTGCATTTGTTAACCACATGGACACTTTACCAGATGTTCATATTGCATCTTGATCAAGTAGATTTAATGACTATTTGGGTAAAATCAATAATTGAACCATCAGAACAGTCTAGTAAGTCGAGAAACATAGTTGACCTTCTGTAAATCAGCATATAAAACCAGTAAAACAACAATTATGCTAAATGACAACATTCAAAATCAGAGACGAGATTTAGTCTCATATCAGGATTTTGAGATAATATATAAAGATTTACAATACTTATCTAAAAATAGGCTTTCCTAGAGTTATTTACGCAACCCACTGATTAGTTTAATTTAGAAAAGTGTTTCATAAGACAGAAAAACAAAGAGAATATTGGAGACTTTTTTAAAGAGTTCTTAGATAGGAAACAAACAGCACAGTTACCTTGAACGAGG